ATCCAAGTGATGACAAGGGTGGAGACACATAGGCTTATATAGTGCTGGGAGGAACAGATTAATGTAATTGCTTTGAAAAACTCTTTGGAATTATCTAATAATAAAGGTGAACATATGCACACCCCAAATTTAGCAAATCTATTCCTATGCAGATTACAACAGAAATGCACACCTAAGTGCATCCAAGAATGTGTATGAGAATGTTTATATCATCATTATTCATAATTTTTAAAAAGTGGATATTCATACTAGAACTTTTGTGTCCTAATGGGTCTATTAGAAAGAAGTTGGAAGTTACAACTAAAAAATATGTCTTTCGTTTCTTATAACAAAAATAACAGGTATTTATTTTAGGAAAGTTTGTTCAATTCAATAAACAATAATAGGAATTTAAAAGTCAACTATGATCCTTCTGTATCAGTTAGAAACTACTTACCACAAATTTTAGAAAACCTAGCCAACAGTGTACAATGGCTAAACACATAAGAATTTCTTTGTATCATGGAAGAAGTATGTACTTTATGTAGTTCAGCAGCTTAACATGTCATTTGAAAAACCTAGGCTCTTTCTATCCTTCTGCTCCATATTGGTATATTAACATTTTATCTCCATGTTTGTTGACTCATGGTTTCAAAATGGCTGCCGCCAGTCCAGGGAGCATATCCTTACAAGCTACATTCCAAATTGCAAAAGAGGAAAAGAGATAATGCTGGCACCTCGTGTTTATTTTTCATGTGGAAGCAAAGCTTCCCATGAAGCATCTCAGCAGATATCAATGCCCTGGTGGGTCACGTGACTATTCCTAGTCATAAGGGAGCCTGGGCACTTGAGAAAGTTTTCCTCTCTTTATACTAAGGGATGCAAAGGAAGTTCAGAATTACTTCAGTTTAGCCAAGAATAAGTCTACCAAATCAGCCACTGAAATTTTACCCTTTCTTATATTTTGTTATATTTGCTTCCACTCTTTCTTAGACATAATCATCTTTTAAATATTTACAAAAATGATCTCATTCCTTTACCAACTATTCACTAGCCTTTTTTTTTTCACATAAAATAGTATGCCAGTGAATACAAATGACATAATTTTAATTCCTGTATGGCATTTCGTTATTTGGATGTGCCATAATTTAAACATACCTCTATTACCAAATGTTTAAATTGCTTCTTAATTTTATATTCTAAATAATATTGTATTAAAGATGCTTGTATATGCAACTTTATTTTCTTAGAATATGTTTTCTGAAGTGGCTTGCAAGGCAAAGCATGTATACAATCAAAAATGGCATAAGCATTACCTAACATTACCACTATGGAAGAGAGCGACCCAGAAATTCACTCCTAGGTGTATGCCTCACGTTGATGTTTTTCAAACACCGATCTTGATTCACAAGGACAGTGATATCACATATGGATCACAAACAAGTGTTTTAAAAAACCTACATAAAACAGAATAGAACAAAAATATTAGCAGGCACTGCATATAGTTTGATGCAACATCTGTTTCTTCTGTGAGTGTGTGTGTTCTGTGTCAAGAAGCAAAATGAGTATTTTGCCACGGGTGACAAAAAGTTTTTTTAAAATGTTCCCGTAGAGGAATGTTCGTGCTTGCCTTCTGATTCCAGCGCTCATATTTTATTTCTGCTTCTTGTTAATTGTCTTGATAAGAAGTTCTGTAACAGTAACAAATTACAGCGGTGACAGCAATGTTCCTATTTGCTTCTGCCCTAAATGAAAATGTGTCCCATGAAGTTTTGAAATGTAGAATTTTCACCATTGTTCATAACTAGCCTGTCAGTGAAGTTTTCATTTCCTCTTTACATCAAGTTTCATAGAGGTTTTCTTTTTTATTCATAATGAGTTGGATTTATTATTAGTTAACTGTTATGATTAATTTCTAGTTTTATTACCTGTGGTCAGAGATAATATGCATTGTGCTATAAAGTTTCTACTTTTGGGAAGTTATTGAGATTTTCTCTGTGGATGAGAATATGGTCAGTTTTTCCAAGTGTTGTATTTTTATAAAAATTCCATTCTTATAAGAATTCTATAATAATAAGGTTCTATAGTAACATTCTACAATAATAAGATACATTTTCAATGTCTATTGACTACAACTTGGGCTTCCCAAGTAGCTCAGATGGTAAAGAATTCACCTGCAATGCAGGAGACGCTGGTTCCATCCTTGGGTTGGGAAGATCCCCTGGAGGAGGGCACGGAAACCCACTCCAGTATTCTTGCTTGGAGAATCCCATGGACAGAGGAGCCTGGTGGGCTACCGTCCATGGGGTCACAAAGAGTCGGACGTGACTGAAGTGACTGAGCTTGCACACACATTGAATACAACTTATTGATACTAACATTCAAAGCCTCTGTATCTTTATGTAGCTATCTTATATATTTTTTTATTCTTTATATCTTGAGCTGTCATTAAAGTCTCCCACCAAGACTGTAATTTTGCACTTTATATTTCCAAGCCTTCTGTGTGTTGTGTTGTGTATATTTATGGTACATAAATGCTAATTCACATTCTAAATGCTTAATGTGGATTTGTAGCTGTTTCAGGCTTATGAGATCATAATAAACTTTAATACTATTGATAGACCTGATTTTTTGGTTTACTTTTGGTGGGTTTCTTTGGTCTATTCTTTTATATCTAACATTTCTGTGTCCTTTTACTTAAACTATAAATTTAAAAAATAGTTTATGGTTACTTCATGTTGATATTCTTGCAAGAATAGAGTGTAACCCATTCACATTTATTTTGAAACAAGTATATTTGATTTTCTCTTTGATTATGCTTTCAGTATTAGTGCTTCTTGGATATTTCCTTTTTAAAAAAACTTTTTACTTACTTTGATTTTTATGCATCTTTTTTTTCCTTTAGTGATTTGGAAGTTATGCATATAGCTTTTTTCTGTATATTCCAATCTTTTAAAATCAGTGTCTAGAATAAAAGCTATATATTAATGATTCTTTCCTGCTAACAAAAATAAAAATGCTTTTCCTTTCATTTTTGTTGAAATAACTTGGAATTTTGGATCCAAGTTATTATATTAAACATTTTTAAAATATGCATCTTATTTTTTCAAAAAAATATTTTCACATGACTACGTTAATACTTATTATTAACACTTAACTGTTTTTTTAAGATTTCATCTTTTGCTGCTGCTTTATTTCAAAACCCTATCTTGTTCATTCTTAGATTCTTTTATTTTGACTTATTTCTCAATAAGCTTGAGTAAATCTAAATAGTATGGGAATATCTCTGTCCTTAGTTTCCATAATTTCTGTCCATGCATGTCTGAATTCATCAGGTACTATTTTAAAAGAATACCTAAACTTTTAGAGTCAAGTAACCCTAGATTCTAATGCTAGCTCCTCCTCACATTTGCCCTGTGGCAGTGGGAAAATCTCACCACTTTTCTGACTCAGTTCCTCCTGATAAAATGGAGGCATGAGCAAGTATTATATAGGATTCATAAGGATTGTACCAAGTTTACATGGGACTCATTTTCTCTGGGCTACAAGAAAGCTCACCGTCTGGCCTCCAGACTCCTCCCGGCCTGGGAATGTTACGTACCTGCCGGTCTCCACACACCTTATTGCTTCTCCCTTTGAACTCTTGCTTCCACTGCTCTCATCGCTTTGGGCACCTTTTTCTTTCCACCTCCAGCCCCCAACACATTGGCCAGACACAGTCTATACACCTGAGTCCATTTGGGGATTCAAGGAAAGCTTCCAGGAGGAAACAATATCTGAATTGAATGTGCCTGTGTCTGACTCCCTTACCACCCAGTAAACAGGCACCTCACGTTAGACTTCAAGTCTGACACTGTTTTCACGAGGTCCCCTCCCACTAGGCTAGATTCTAGAACAAAACAGCATGGAGATGCTATGTCTGAACATAGTGACCTAGTTGGTGCCCAAGAAATAGACTCAACTATTTTAAACTGAGGCTGGCTCATTCCTCTCCTGCTCTATTTTCTGATAATAAGATTTGGTGTCTCTTTCTCAGGGCAACCATTTCAACTTGTTCAAGGTCTGGGATGAAAAAACTGAGGCCACAGAAGCTCCTAACATCTAAATGCTTTTCATTCTTTTGCTTCATTTTGGAAGAGGCAAGAGTTTGGCTTAGAATCCTTGCTTGAACTCAGTGATTTTTGGGCATTTACATCAGTGCAGTACTTCTGAGTCCAGTCAGATTATTATTCCCAGGCTGGTCAGATACTAGTTTATACCTGATTCCGGGCTTCCCTTGTGGCTCAGCTGGTAAAAATCTGCCTACAGTGTGGGAGACCTGGGTTCGATCCCTTAGTTGGGAAGATCCCCTGGAGAAGGGAAAGGCTGCCCACTCCAGTATTCTGGCTTGGAGAATTCTGGACTGGATAGTCCACGGGGTTGCAAAGAGTCAGCGACTGAGCGACTTTCACTTTCTCTACTTGATTCTAGAACAGGCAAAGATACACTAGAAGAATTAGTAGTTGTAAAAATTCTATAGAAAAAAAGTTTTAATTGAGACATTTTGTGTTCTAATTAATTTTTGTCATTGTTTCAAACTGAGAAAGATAACCATTAGCCAATTTTGCTAGTTCTTGTCATAAGACACCATGTTGTATTGTTATTCATCATTCAATCACTCAGTTGTATTCAACTCTTTACGATCCCATGGACTGCAACACGCCAGGCTTCCCTGTCCTTCTATCTCCGAGTTTGCTCAAAGTCCATTGACTCAATGTCCATTGAGTCTGTGATGCCATCTGACCATCTCACCCTCAGTCACCCCCATCTCCTCCTACCCAAGTGTTCTATAGAAGTGACATTTAAAACCCACTTAAACAAAATTAGAGCTAAATACAATACCTATCACTAATACATTTTTATTTAATAAAAAGGAACAAAAATTTTCATTTCAACTAATGTTACTTGCTTCCTAAAATTGCCCTACGACCCTATCTTGATTACTGAAGAAAGTAACCATTAACCATCTTTCTCCTCCTTAGGCTGTGAGGTTGAGATTCTTGGCATCAGACCAACTTACTGCCTCGAGTATAAATCTGTCCCAACGGATGCCAATTTTGTCAACGCAGTCAACGGTGCTCTTGACGTCTTCAAGTGAGTGTCCCAAATTCTTAGCCGTGCCAGTGTTCTTCCTTGTTTCCAGGACCAATAAAGAATGCTCAAGTGGATTAAGAACCCTTTGGGATAGGTGGCCCAATGTTTCAGAGAGGTGGTGAGCCTTTCCCGTGGTGATTGCTACCAGCTAGTGTGAGAAATTTTAGGTAGGGGTGGTCTTTGGAAACACTGAATTGACAGCAAGGAAGTCTCCAGGTATTTGGGACATTCTTCTTTGTGTTGATGGATAGTAGAGAAGCAATGTGAATGTCAGTGTTTCTCTAATCATGATATAGTGAATGCTTGGCTCTCAGAAGACATCGATAAGTTTTTGGCAAAAAAAAAAAAAAAAGGGAAAATCTGTGGTGGAAAAACGTTTGGAGAAACTGCCTACTCTGCCATCTTCTTTGGAAGCATACAAAGCCTATTGGCATATTAGTACATAAAAGCTTTTTTCTTCTTCCCCATGCAACTTATCATCACACCCAGTTTGAAAAACACAGAAGTCAGTAGAGCTCTCCTGAATAGCAGACTAGAGTCGGGGAAACTGACTTAACTTCTAAGTCTTGAATTTTTTTAATAGTCAACAACTTCAACTATCCCTTTAAACTGCCTCCATTTCTCTCTGCCTAATTCCTTCTTTACAGTCCACTTCAGTAAGGAAAATGGATGTGACATCCTGCACTTTTTTACATTGCAAAGAGATCTGGACAGAATCCTAAGGTGATGGGAGATCTGGGTGTCCCTGAAAGCCCAGGGCCGGGGGCCCCTCATAGCTCTCAGGTGACTGGGCTCATGGCCACATGTCCTTCTGGCATGGTTCCTGGGCTGGAGGCTATAAAGGGCCAGAAACAGATCTGTAGGCGTTCCTATCCGCCGCTCCTCACCCGGCCCCTCCGTTACAAATGAGCTGACCTGTGATGGAGACCAGACCCATGTGGAAAACAGCTGGCCACCAAGAATTTGTCAGCTAAGCTCCAAACAGGCAAGCGCGCTCAGCCCTTGAAGACTCCGGTCCCTCATGAATCAACGTGCTCCCACATAGATGTCTTTCACAAAAGGCATGCGTATAAATCCCCAAATCGCAAGCATCGTAGCTCCAGTGTTCCTGGCATCTGGGGTTGACAGCTTCTTGACAGAAAGCCATCAGGTAAACCTGTGAGACTTGTTAGCTTTCCGACCACACGGAGATTTATGAATATGCCAAACAGCCTTAAAGAAGCCAGGCCAGTGGCTGCTGAATTAAGGTGCAGTGTCTAAAACCTAGTGACCTGAAAGCATTTCATTGAACTTCAGTGCAACCAGTCAACATTGTGAAATTCTCCCCACGTCCAAGCCCCACCCTGGAGGTGTGCATGGTAGACATAGGAGGCACTGTGAGGACCAGCATGTCTGGGATGCTCCAGGCTCAAGGACATAAGGCAGCTAAACGCAGAGGCATGTCTGAGGGCATGATTTTGTGGAAAGTTCCTTTATGTTCAAACATGGTGGAGGAAATGCCATCAGCCCATCAGTGTAATGAACATGGGCCTCAAAAAAGTTTACGGAGAGATATGAAAATGCCATTCCCGAGTAAGAATTTTTCCCACTGCCTACATTACGGGGACCCTCCGTGATGTTTTGTTCTCTGCTGTCTGTAAAGGCAGGGGGATTTGTTATTAGTCATCCACATGTTAGCGAGTATGAATGATGATAATTTTATTTGTGAGAAACAACCAAATAATAACTTAACACAGTTCCCACCATGGAGGAAGGACCGATGCTGAAGCTGAAACTCCAATACTTTGGCCACGGGATGTGAAGAGCCGACTCATTGGAAAAGACCCTGATGCTAAGAAAATTGAGGGCAGGAGGGGAAGGGGGTGAGAGAGGATGGGAAGGTTAGAGGGCATCACCAACTCAATGGACAGGAGTTTGAGCAAACTTTAGGAAATAGTGTAGAACAGGGAAGCCTGGTGTGCTGCTGTCCGTGGGGTCACAGAGTTGGACCTGACTTAGCAACCGAACAACAACGTCGTGGAGGAGAGAGGACATGGTATTTGTTAAAGAGGGACCAGTCTGTTTTGTTCTAAAAAGAGAAAATCATGCTTGACTGGCAATTTCCCTTACCTTGAAACCCGTGTATCCTCCGAACCATGAATGAAGTACACCTCTGGGTATGAGAACAGTTTCATTAAAGGGTGTGCCCTCTTGGTGATTATGACTGTGGAGAAAGAAGACGCTGGGCTGAACCTCCTCTGGACTCCATCCCTGTGCAGTGAACGGCGTTGGTGTGGACATTCGAAAGCCTGGGCTGTGGAGCAACGTGTCCTGATCTTGCACGTGGAAGGTTCACAGTCTCCAGTCCTAACCACGACTCCCCCTGGAGAAGAGATAGGCTCCCCTCTTCAGTATTCTTGGGATTCCCTCGTGGCTCAGACTCAGAGTCCACCTGCAGTGCGGGAGACCTAGGTTCAATCCCTGGGTTGGGAAGATCCCCTGGAGGAGGGTGTGGCAACCCATTCAGTACTCTTGCCTAGAGAATCCCCATGGACAGAGGAGCCTGGTGGGCTATAGTCCATGCAGTCACAAAAAATCAGACACGACTGAGCGACTGAGCAGCCATGACTCAGGGCTGTGAGGCCCTGAGTAATTCCTCGCATCCTTTCTGGCCTGTTTCCTTACCTGCAAAATCTGCCAAAGCTATTCTCTGGGGACATTCTTCACCACAGACCCAGAGTCTGGAGGCACATCCAACAGAGCTCACGCCGGGAAATGAGAGCGACTGCTGCCTTCGCCACACCTCGCACCCGGCTTTCTTGGGAATGGTGGGACCCGATAGCCGAATGAGAACCATTTCCACAAGTCAGTTGGGCTAAGCAGAATGTTCCCCTATTGGTGCGGGCTGCTGAGTCCTTTCAGGGTGTTGGGTCAAGATGTTGAGTCAGCCCCACCGGGGTCTCGGTGCTGGCTCTGCTTCTCATGAGCTGAGTGATGTGGACAACCATCTTGAACTCTCTGTTTTCGGTAATCGTACCTGATAGGGTTGCTGTAAGGATGAATTCCGATAATGCATAAAAAGCCCTCCACTTAGTGCCTGACTTAAGCACTTGGAGCTTCCCCCCATGCCTCAGCCATAAAAAAAAATCCACCTGCAATGCGGGAGATGCAGGAGGCACAGGTTCAATCCCTGGGTTGGGAAGATCTGCTGGAAGAGGACATGGCAACCCACTCCAGTTTTCTTGCCTGGAGAATACCACGGACAGAGGAGCCTGGCAGGCTACAGTCCATGAGGTCACAAAGAGTCGGACACAACTGAATTGATCTAGCATGCATGCACACACTGAGCACTTACTATTATTATACCGCCTACCAACAGTTACGGAGCTCCTACCAGATCCTAGACTGAGCTGAGATACGATGGAGCGTGAATGCACCCCAGGGCGAAAGAACCCTGTGATTTAGAGGGGAGAAGGATACATAAATGGGCGATTAGAGTACAGTGTGAAGAATCACAATCTGGAGATGAACCAGGAATGCTGCAGGAGCACCCAGGAGGACCACCCAGCTGAGCCTGGGCATGCGGACATGCTCCTGGAGGGGGCAGCATCTCCCCGAGACCTGAAGGACAGGCGGGGGTGTTCATTCATGCAGCCACGCTCTTGAACTACTCTGGGGTTCTTTTTCCTCTGCTGTAGATCGCAAGGCCCAAGGCGCTGCCTGTGTTAAGGACACACGTTCTCTCATTCTAAGGGTCGGGGAGACCAGACCCAGAGAGACCTTGCCGCCTCCCTTGTGTGTTTAAATAAGAGTTTTTCGAGATAAATGAGGCAGTCTGCCAAGAGTATTTGTTATTAATCCTTGTAAAGTCCAAGCGAAGGAGTTAGCCTTCATTCCTTTTCCATTGCTTCCTCTTTGATCAGTTGCTCTTACCACTACACTCATCATCACCAGCATCCTCACCAATGTAGTTCTGTTCCCCTGCTTTGGGGGAGTTTGGGCGGGGCGCAGTCACGGTGGGAAGCCCCCAGCTGTGCAGGGCAGGGAGGGCACATGGCCCCGTGTTTTCTCTCCTCCCAGACTCCCTCAGCCTCCTGCTCCAGTTCATCTCTCTAGTTCCCACTCGGTCTCAACCCTGTGTGGAGGCTTAAATAGCTGGGTTTGTACCACCAGTACTCTGGCCCCGAGCGGGCATTTAGCCAGAACCGAGTCTTCCTGGGAGGCAGGAAGTGTGGTCAGTGCTAGAATTCACTCTGTGTCCACCCTGGAGCTGAGCTGTCCTGGGTGCCCGGGGAAACAAGTGTGCTGGGGGGTGTCTGCAGATGTCAAGCCTTGAACACAAACCTGTCTACCTCCCACAAGGTGGCCTGGTAAAGTTTGCTCTTACTCTTGCTGGTCAGCTACACCTACAGCTCAGGGTTTCCTTTAGAGGCTTCCCCGAAGGCCAGCAGTAATGGGACAGCCATTACTTGAGTGATCATCGCTCCTCTTTTCTCTGATCTTCTGATGGCACCCAGCAGGGAGGAGGCCTTTCAGAACCGTCCCCTGCCTGTGGCCACCTCGTCCGACTCCTGGGTCCTGATGAGCTGAGAGGGGAGGTGACACAGAAGCACATCCTGTGGCTTTCGTCACCATGGCGCTCGGGACTGGCAGGCCTAGATGCACTCGTCCTGTCTCTCCCTCAGAGAACCCGCTTGCTTGTTTTAGGGTGTCAGCTGTGCTCAGCCTACAGGCCTGCCCCCACTGGGGCCGCAGGTCGGGAGGAGAGAAGGCTTGGGGGGCTTCTCTCAGCCGCTCCTCTCTCGCTGCCCCCCAGGAGTGGCCAGGCGGACCTGGCGGCCATCTACTACGAGCGCATCGACGTGGAAGGCCACCATCACGGGCCCTGGTCGCCACAGAGGAAAGACGCCGTGAAGGCCGTGGACACCGTGATGGCGGACATGACCAAGTGGATCCAGGTGACTGGAAACCCGGTCCCCTGGGCTAGCCTCCCCTCTGTCCGTCTCCTCTGTCCCCTGGGCTGGCCCAGCCCTCCACATCGCCTTTCTTGCTCTGAGAGCTGACTGGGCCAGCTTGAGGGTCTGCAGGCACGGGGGTGGGGGTAGGTTCTCTTTTCTTCATACAGGGAATCACTCAGTCATGTCCGACTCTTTGCAACCCCATGGACTATTCCGTCCCTGGAACTCTCCAGGCCAGAATACTGGAATGGGTCGCCGTTCCCTTCTCCAGGGGATCTTCCCAACCCAGGGATGGAACCCAGGTCTCCTGCATTGCAGGCTGATTCTTCACCAGCTGAGCCCCCAGGGAAGCCCTTTCTTCATACAGCATCTCCCCAAACACCACAAGATCCCCTGTGAGCAGCCGGGCCAGTGGTGCTGAAGTGACCTGATCTGCACGGCCTCCGGGCTCAGCCGGCGAGGTGGACCGATGCTTTACCCCAAGGCTAAAGTATGGTCACCAGGTCGCCGGGAACATCAAAACCAGGCCTGGGTTCTGTCCCTGATCCTGCCACACCCTTCGTGAATGACTTTAAGCACAGGATTATTTCTTAATTTTATTTTTTTATGGCAGTATAGTTGATTTGCAATGTGCTAATTTCAGGCGTATGGCAAAGCGATTCAGTTACACACACACACATATATGTATATGGTTCTTTTTCATTATAGGCTATTACAGGTATTGAATATAGTCCCTTGTACTTTTACAGTATTCCCAGGTGGCCCAGTGGTAAAGAATACATCTGCCAAACAGGAGCCTCAGGAGACGTGGGTTCGACCCCCGAGTCAGAAAGACCCCCTTGAGGAGGGCATGGCAACCCACTCCAGTGTTCTTGCCTGGAGAATCCCATGGACAGAGCAGCCTGGTGGGCTACAGTCCATGGGTTTGCAAAGAGCTGGACATGACTTAGTGACTAAACCACCACCACCACCTTATTGTTTTTTATACAGTAGTGTATATGTTAATCCCTACCTCCTAATTTACCCTTCTCCTTCCACTTTCTCCTTTGGTAGCCGTAAGTTTGATTTCTATGCCCATGAGTCTAATTCTGTTTTGTAAATAATTTCATTTGCAGCTTTTTTTTTTTTTAGATTCCACATAAAAATGGTATCGTATGATATTTGACTTTCTCTGTCTGACTTAAAGTATTAATTTTTTAAACTTTCCTGGGCTTGATTTTTCAAACATGTGTAAAACAGGCAAGTGAGAGTCATCATATTTCCCACACGAGTTTTTTGCAAGCCCCAAAGAGGATGAAAACCGAATGGCTACCTTAAAAACCTGGAGCCTGTATGTATCACGTTCAGCATGGGCTCCCGGGCTCCCCTCCCCAAAGTGCTTCTGCTACGATTTTGAGCCGTGTCAAGGCAGACAAGTAGATGATTTAATTCAGAACTGAGGACGAACTCTTGCTCCTATATATAGCCTGTAAGTTAAGTAAGGACTTTGAGAAAGTCAGGTACACACCGCTATGTTTAAAACGGATAACCAACAAAAACCTACTGTGTGGCGCAGGAAGTCTGCTCTGTTATGTGGCAGCCTGGATGGGAGGGGAGTTTGGGGAAGAATGGATACATGTATAAATGTACGGCTGAGTCCCTTCATTGTTCACCTGAAACTATCACAACATTGTTAATTGGCTCTACCCCAATACAAAATGTTTTTGGTGTGAAAAAAAAATTAAAAATTAAAAAAAGAGAGAAAACATCTCTTTGCAAAACAGCTGGTGTTAAGAGGGTCCTTCTGTGGACACCATCCTGACCACCTCTCCTGCCCCCCACCCCAAGGAACGGGAGCTGCAGGACGACCTTAACGTCATCATCTTCTCAGATCACGGGATGACTGATATTTCATGGATAGACAAAGTGATTGAGCTGGATAACTACATCAACCTCCGTGATCTGCAGCAGGTGAAGGGGCGAGGGCCAATTATGAGCCTGTGGCCAGCCCCTGGGAAGCATTCGGAGGTACGAAGGGTGGGTGGCGGGCCAGGTCGCAGGGGCAGGGGTGTCTGTGCTGGGTCTTTGTAGTTTCAAGGCGGAAACGCAGGGTGACCTCGGGGGGTCAGGACTCTGGAGACAGATGACCCACCCCGCCCCTCCCTTGCTGGGTGACCTCTGTCTGGCGGTTCATCCTCCCGTGTCTTCTCTTGTCTGAGATGAGCTAGGAACGTTAGTGGCTCTGAAGCGAGACTAAGGATGTGCAGTGCTTAGCTTGCCAAGGGCTCAGCCCCGAACAGGGCTGCTTTCTTCTTAGCCGACATGCAGCACATGCCAGGCACAGCTGGGCACAGTGGATGCCTGCCCAGGGTGCTCCTCTCTGGAAGAAAGCGGCCAGTCCGGCCTGTTCTCATCAGGGCCCCAGGAGGAGAAGGTGACCAGTGATCCCGGGGCGAGGCTGCAGGTGCCATAGGTCTGCCAGGGATGGGGATCCAACCCTCAGCCACTGAGCGGCTCCCTGACCGGCCCTGCTGCTGCGTTTCCTGCCTGGGAGCTGGCGGCATCGTCGCCGCTCTCCTGGGTGGCTCTGAAGCATGGAGAAGCTTGCTGGGCCCAGGGCAGGGGCCGCGGACAGTCACCAAGGACAGTGATCACCCCTGGAGAGCGCCGTTCCCAAGAGGATGTGGCAGTCCTTGCCCCCCGGGAACTGGGCACCTGGGATGGTGAGACCCCCACTCACCCCTCCCTCCAAACAATACTTCCGTCTGAGTGGCTGGCACACCACGCTGAGAAGCTTAAAGGAGCAAGTGGCACCTCTGGCTGACCGCCTGGCCCCATGTGGCTTGATCGTCTCCCAGTGCAGGCCCTGGGGCTTCCGCCCACTCCCAGAGAGAATTGCCATCTTTCTCCGGGGGTCCCACCCACAGGGAGCCAGGAATGGGCCTCAGCTGGGCCTGGTGCCTCCACCCATCCTCACCCCAGTGACGTGGTTGGTGTTGATGGAGCACTAGTGCAGGCTGCGGAGGGGGGGTGTCCTCCTTTTTGGCCCAGAGAGACACCCTCCTCTCAACCCTGCCTGCTCCCTCCCACTTGAGTCTGAGATCTGTCTGTGTGGGGTTGAGGAACACGGTGCCCACATAGCCCTTCCCCCTAGCCTCATCCCCTCCCCACACAGACGCCCCCTTTTTCTCAAGCTCTGTGGTCAGCAAGTTCAGGTGCTCAACATGTGTACTCAGCGTTCCCATGAACTCCGTAAGTGTGAAACTGGGAAGAATACTTTCCACGCTGGCAGCTCCCGCAGTCAATGGCTTCCTGCAAAGGAGTTCTGTTTCGCAGGCATGGCATCCCATCCGTGTCTTCAACTTGGCACCTGGGCCCCAGGATGACAGAGCATCAGCGGCTCGCTAGCTGGGGAGTTTCTTGCTTCCAATGTGGTGTGTAATGTGGTCAGGCAGGTGCAAGCTGCCTAAAGCAGTTGGTGGATTATTCAGGAGCAGGGACTGTGTTTGGTTGACAGCTCGTCACATGATGGATGCAAGAGTTTGTGAGACCCGCTGCGTGCCATCAGAGTTTCCACTTAACTAAAATCTTTCTGGGGATGCACCCTCCTTTCCTTAAGAATTGCAGGTTTTCTAATATAGGAAATTATAACTCCCAGGGCCATTAGAAACTCTCTACCAAGCAGCCTAAAGACTCATTATTTTCCAGAGTTGAGTGGATAAACTCAATTTTCTATTCAGGTCTACCCAGGAATGAATGTCTGATTTGGCTAAGTATCAGCCAGTTGATTTTAATTTTAGCCATACAGATTTAAGCTGCTGTTAAATACTGAAAATACATACAGGGTTTATGCCTTCATCAGATCAGCAGTGTAATTAATGGCAAACAGTTACTAGTATTTTTCTTTTTTGGCCATGTGGCATGTGGGATCCTAGTTCCCCGATCAGGGTTCGAACTCTAGCCCCCCCGACTTTGGAAGCATGGAGCCCTAACTACTGGACTGCCAGGGACGTCCCTACTAGTTCTTTTAGAATCAGGTGTAGGTAGGACATGCTCTAGGTCTAGTCAAAGAATAAATGCATTTCTTTGGTCTTGGGGGTATTTAACGCCAGGCAGACCAACTTCTCATTCTTATTTTAATTTTTCTATAGTATTTTTGACATAAGTAAGTTTTTATAAGAGGATCCTCTCCACCAGGTCCAATATATGGTCACGTATACGTAAGAAAGAGAATGCAAACCTGGTCCTTCTTGGTTCTCTTTACAGATATATAACAAACTGAGGCGAGTGGAGCACATGACTGTCTACGAGAAGGAAGACATTCCGAGCAGGTTCCATTACAAGAAAGGGAAGTTTGTCTCCCCTCTGACCCTAGTGGCTGACGAAGGATGGTTCATAACTGAGGTAAACAAAAAACACACGACAAGACATCCATGATACAAATTCTATCAAACAGCCAAATGTAAATAATTACTCACCTTTTCCACTTGAAAAATGTTTGTTCTTACCCGAGTCTCTCATTGGCTGTGTTATTTCCTTCTTGAGACAATTGAAAGGCTTGGTCAGATGACTGCAGATGCAAACGGGAGGCTCCGACCCAGAGCCAAGGTTTAGACTTCGTGGCTCCAGACTTGTTGTATTTTAACAAATGGGCCTTAACTCAATTACCAAGGCTTACAATGTAACCTATTCAGTGGAAAGTGGAACAATTACTGTGAACCAAAGCAATTGCTTTAGGGCATCGAACAGCCAGGGGAGGCTCCGCTTTGCTTTCACCTTAAACAGCAGTGATTGGCAAACAAAAAGTCTGCCTGCAGACCCAGGTCTCAGGTTTGCCAACTTGATTTTACAGAGCTTCTCTTGCCTTTTGAGTCCAAACCCTGATTGCCTAATGCCCTAAAGACCTCAGCAGCTTTCTCCTTGTTTGCCCGGACACCGTGCTCACCCGGCTCTTGCATCAGCTTTGATACCTGGCCAGCTGGGAAAGCCCACCTCCCCACCCCCTTCCAGGGGAATCTGCGGTCCTGTGTATAGTCAGTTTCCAGACAGAGCCTGAGTCCTTGACGGTATGAACTTGAAGCTGGGCTGCAAACTGATCAGACTGGAGAGTAAAAGAGAGTGGCAGATGTTGGCACATGAGGGTCGTTGTGGAGTTGAATTTGAGGTTGCGCATCCGTAGATTCAAACAGTCGCAAATCAGAAATATTCAGGGGGGGAAAAAGAGTCCCAAAAGTCCCAAAAAGCAAAGCTTGAATTTGCTGAGTGTCGGCAACTATTTACATCACATTTCCATTATATTTATAGCTATTTATATCACATTGCATTGTCTGCGGTATCATAAGTAATCTAGAGAGGATTTAAGAGACACAGGAGAATATGTGTCCTTATATGCAAATGCTATGCCATTTTGTATAAGAGACTTCAGCGTCCATGGAGTTTGGTACCCAACGGGGTCATGGAAACAGTCCCCATGAACACTAAGGGACCATTATATCAGACCGAAGACTGGTATTTAATCTGCCAGAGCGAGGGCAGGTGGCCATCAGCAGAAATATTGATCAGGCAAATGAATGGACATTTAGGGACCCAGGTGTGGAAAACAGGGATTCCCTGATGTGAACTTTAGTTCACAAAGATGGTTCTGAGCTTCCTAGCAGCCAACTCAAAGAGGAAAGCGCAATGAATATACAGTATATATTACTGTAACTCAAGGTGTATATAGCATAAAAACATAAATGTTTCTTTAGAAAATCACGGCGGTCCCTGGTCCCCTTAAGAGAAATTTAGATATCTTTTAGTCAGTCTTTTGTTGTACCTTAGTCTCCTAGACTATCTTAATCATTTTACTATCTTCGAATTTACAGATTTTTATTTTCAAGATTCACATATGAAAATTATAATCTCTGATCCTTAGATTTAATAATCTAAGGATTTTAATTTCTAGTTAAAATGTATAATTTTATAATTCATAAATTATAATTTTAAAAGTTATAATTTCTAATTTTAATGGATAATTTCTGATACTTAGATTTAATATTAGGGTTTTACTCTATCTTCTGAAAAATCCTAAAAGGAGCACCCATTCTTTCCCTGCTTAGATTTTTTTTTCTTTTACGTCTCCCTGCTGTTTATTAAACTTACTTGACTACAGAGAATTGAAAACGTCGCTCTAGGCCCCTGTTGCTGCTCTGTGCCAAGACTATTAATCTCCCACATTCTTATTTGCAAAATTTCTCCCCACGTGGTGACAGAACCTGTGTTTGCTCTGTAACCTCCATACCAGTGCCCAGTGAGGGATCTCAGTTTGCATCTGCAGCGGGACAGTTTCTCAGCTTTAAAAGCAGCTGCTCTGAGTCTAGGTTTGGCTAGCAGAAGAGCCTTTTTTTTTCTTTCTGGCTTAAATATGAAAACAGCTGAGTCAGGACAAATTGCTGCTGGTTGGGGCCAATAAAACAGAATCCCATCTTTCCTTCCTTTTTCCCTACAACCGCTATCTCATAAACATGCAAGATTTGGTTTCCTTGGCAAAAATGCCCTTCCCATATAAACACCAACTTAAGTTCTGCAGGCTCTTAGGCAGCTGCTCCAACAGGAAGATGCCATGGAGCACTTTCTGTTTTTTATTTTTTTAAATGGTTGCTTGGAGAGCTGTCACTGAAAAAGATAAAGGCAGGGAAACAGATTGACTTTGTCACCTGGAATGGCACCATTATCTGGCATGACTGCTGACGTCATAAAAGCAAGGCCCACTGCCCAGTGGCTCCCACAGATTGTTTTTCGTCGTGAGAATTAATATACAGACTGGATTTCCAACTAGTGCCAGTACCTTCTCTGGCCTCCTCTCCTACAGGGGCAGGAAGCTGAGTGTGTTCATTTTCCCAGAAGACTAACCATGAAGCAGCAGGAAAAAAACAAAAACAAAAAACCCAGGTCACCTGCCTAGGTTAAGCCCCAGCCTGTCACACCTGCCAAGCTCCTTTCTTCAAGCATGGAAACAGGGCTTCCGAAATGGTGCCTCCACCCCTCTGTCCCCCTAAGACCTGGCCACCATCCTCTGTAAACCTCTTTGCATGTCCTTGTCAGGGGATAAGGGTCACTGAGGGCATGGTCCCTCAGTCGTGTCCGACCCTTTTAGACCCTTTGGACTGTACCCCACCAGGGTCCTCTGCCTATGGGGTTTTCCAGGCAGAAATACCGGAGTGAGCTGCCAGTTCCCTCCTCCAGGGGATCTTCCCGACCCTGGGATCGAACCCACATCTCCTGCGTCTCCTGCACTGCAGGCAGATTCTTCACCCTCTGAGCCACTGGGGTTGTCACAATGTCTAGGGTGGTCCAAAGATCCTCAGGAGGCAGGCCCAGTGATGCTTCCTCGGGTGGAAGCTCCTTGAGGGCAGGCCTGTGGCATCTTGACCAGAGTGTTCCTCTGTGGAACCTGGTACATGGCAGAGACTCAGTACATGTTTGTGGAATATGAAATTAAGAAATGAATTCATAAATAGAGACAGCTGGTTCTTGATTACTTGTTGTTATTGTTCAGTTGCTCGGTCCTGTCCGACTATTTGCAACCCCATGGACTGCAGCACGCCGGGTTTCTCTGTCCTTCATTACCTCCCAGAGTTTGCTCAGACTCACGTCCATTGAGTCAATCATGCCATCCAACCACCTCATCCTGTGTCACCCCCTTATCCTCCTGCCCTCAATCTTTCCCAGCATCAAGATCTTTTTGACAGACTGTTTACTTTGTAGGCTAATAAATCAGTGACTAAGTACCCAGAAAGGAAAGCTAATTCAGGCCTCTCACCTGGACTGTTAGTAGCCCTAGAAGAGATTTCAACAGAGAAAAGGTGTTGAGACCACCAGTGGCCACTGTCCTGGCCCAGCTAGCCCCCAGCTGGAGTCCAGGGGCGGGCGGACACCTCAGCTGTCCCCGGTCCCCACTCAGCCTCAGGGGCTGATTCACACGGCCTCTCCTGGACAGTGTCCCCTCCTGACACTGCGCTCAGAAAGGCCGCCAAATGCGGCCAGAAGCTGGTGAAAGATCATGAGACTTTCACACAATGGAGCTTCGTTGTGGATCCTCCGGACTCTCATCCGTGTGGAGAGAAATGCAGCAAATGCAGGCTTCAGATTCCAAAAAAGGCCCGTATTGGTCTCCTGAGGAAAGATTTATTTCAAAAACCAGCAAAGGATATGAAATGCCAGGCTCAATTCTCAGGCCTGGGATTGAGTGGCAGTTAGGCCCGGGCCCAAAATACTTGGGGAAATCAAGACAAGCTGGAGGGCGTGGCTCCTGAGTTTTAGTGGCAGCCGGAGCGGTTTCCTGCGGGCCCGGGGTGCCGGAGGTCCAGGATGCCTGTGTCGGGGGCTGGAAGCCGCTTGCCTTCTGGCGGAGACCAGGGGCATCACTGTAAGCCGTCGGAGGGCACACGATGCCCTCCTCACCCTCGGCGCACTTCAGCAAACACGATCTTGAGAGAAAAAAGAAGAAAAAGCAAGCTCATCCCCTGGGCACCCTGCTCCAGCTCTTCTCTCTTCTCTGAGGAATTCTGCTGCCTCTGGACCCTGCTGCTCCTGCTGTCTGGCATTTCGCAATTTCCAGAACGAAGTCGCATGTGGCAGTAGGCTTGGCAGGGTAAGACCAGGGTCTGGGGCCTAAGACATTAAATTCTGTTCTAGAAAGAGGTGGCCTTCTAAGACAGAGAAACAGTTGTCTCTGGGGGACTTGTCTTCGCAGCAGTGTGTGGCAAACACACATCTGAGGATCTACGATCACCGCTGCCGGGGGCCCCACAGGAAGCCTCTCAGGAGGAGGGTTTAAAATGGTGATGAGACACGGCGCTTTGTCACCTAGCTTGACCTTAACCCTGGCAGCAAAACCCCGGAGCCAGCCAAACCATGCTCCCTTCCGCAAAAGTCCTGACTGAGGCCTCTTCCGAGACATCACCGGGTGCCTTTTCCAGCCTGAGATGCTGTGAGCTTATTGCACTGAGGAGGGCAGGGGAAGCTCCTGTTACAACCCTGACCTGGGGGAATAAATTCGATTTCATTTGTGTTAGGCCCGTCACACACCTCAGACAGGGGTTCACATTTTACTTACTGATTTTAATTGGACCTGATTTCACCTTTGTTCCCCAGCACCCTAGACAAGGGGTGAGAGGCCTCATCCAGAGAGGAGGGGACACCCGGGTCCCTGACCCCACTTCTCAGCAGGAATTTCCCTGTCAGGTGCTGATGTGAGGGATGGCGGTCAAGATGTGTAACCATCAGTGAACCTGGTGCTGGCCAACGATCCTGGGAAAAGCCAGTCGGCTGCCACGATTCCTCTTTGGAAAGCAGCCCATGTGAGCGACTCCGAGCCTGACTCTGCACCCACGGCAGCTGAAACAGACTCAGCGTGGCAACCAGCATAAGATGAAGCATTCTCAGGAAAGGACAGATAATCATTGAACACAGCCCAGGACAAACGCCAGGTGAAAGACTCCCAGTGGTTATCAACCGGACGATGCATCCCAGCCACCCAGGGGATGACTATTAAATAGCCAGAGTCGCCGCTTTAACCCACCTGCAAATCCAAACACCCAAAGTGAGACTCGAGATAAGCTCAGGGTGCTGTGTGCACAGCCAGGCTTGGGATCCAGCAGTGTAGACAATGTGTTTCCAGGGAAAGACGGGAGAGAAGGTCACTCGGGCAGAGCAGGGCCATGCAGACAAGGCCCCCACCAGCGCCTGTGGTCAGGGGACAGAACCCCCAGAGGACGGATTTCCACCTCCTCGGCCGTCAGAGGAGAAGTCATTTTGGGGTGTGAGGCGAGAGCTGGTGTCCAGATGATTTCCCAGACCTGGTGACCCTCCTGCCTCCTCAGAAATAATTTTCTCTGTGGCTTAGCTACTATTTTCTGATCTGCACCCAGGGGAAATTGAAAGGAGCCGGTGAGAACAGCACGTGCTAATATAGTCTCCAAATGCAACAGTGCGAAGTGAGTAAATGCCGGACAGTTCACCAAAGCAAGTGACTGCAAGTCAGACAGACAGCAGTGACTGCAGACTGTCCAGGCCACCCTCTGCTTCTCCCCAGCCTTCCATCACTCCTGTTACCCCAACCCTCCTTCCCAGCGCCACCCCCATTTCTGACTGTGCCCCCACCCCACCTCCGACAGCTCAGCTCAGCTCTAGAAAGGAATCCAAAAATGCTGAGTCAAAGAGATGGGTCCCGGCAAGTGCTGAACAAACTTCATTAACTGGTTTGCTGATCTGGGGGGTAAAGAGTGAAGGCTACTTTTTGCTGTTGTTAATGCCAAGGATGAATGAGATAAAGGTCAAGTCTAGAAACCAAAACATGCATCTCACAGGTAATCGCCTGGCTTCCCCAGTTCAGCAGGCGTTTGGTGGGGCTAGTAACAGAGTGAGGCTTCAAAAATACAAGGCAGGCACCAAATACTAGAACATACATCTATAAACACAGTAACAGCCGTTCCTCACAGTGTTCCTCCTGGGGAACTGTTTCTGGGGTCCTTCCTGTTAGAAATGATGAACTAGTTTAGGGGCTCATAAATGGGGGGCTGGTCCTGGCACTGCTATCCACCCCGGTACAGAGGAGGGGTCCCGGAAGGTGCTGGACAAATGACACTCAGCACAGATTTTATTTGAATTGCCAAGAAAGTGTTCATGACAGAGTCACCAACTTGTCCCGGCTTGCCCAGGTCAGTCCTATTTTTTGTTTTTTTTGTCTTTTTTTTTTTTTTTTGCATCCCTGGAACAACTCAGTCCTGGGCAAACCAGGGCGGTTGGTCAGCCCCTCTGACTGGCACAACCTCGTAGAGAAACTGCCTCACTCCTTCCAGCGTCCTCACGGTGCTTCCTTCTCATGTGCTTCCCACATGCAGTCACTATGCAAGGTCCCCTGGCCTTGCAGGGACTCCTCTGTGTCCGCACTGCCCCAACTCACATACACACACACACACACACACACGCACGCACGCACGCACGCACGCTTTCATCTGGAGGGCCTGGGCACCTCCCCAGGATGTCGCTAGGTGCGCTGTGTGGAGGTCCCTGGACCCGGAAGGCTCAGGAAGGATGGAGGCTCCTCAACCAGTAACCTGAGGACCCCCCAGCTTGCAGACGTGGTAGGTGTGGAGCGCCTCACCAGCAGGGCTGCACGTGTGAGGTATGCATTACACGGCTGCACGGGCCCGCACTGGTGTGATAATGTGTGTGGTGGGGGGGAAACAGGACCAAGTGAATCAGTGAAAGCCACCAGGAAGGATAAGGGGAAAATTCATCAACTTGCCTTCTTGAGGCTCATTAAGTCATGTAATTAGATTATATCATGTAATCCACTCAGTCTGATTATGTCACGTAATCCGTTCAGTCACTTAGCCTCTCACATAACTAGCCAGGTTATTACTTTTTAAAATGAGTAAACATAGTTGTTTCAAAAAAAAAAATGTAAGAGTAGTTGTTTCACCAGAGCAAATTGTCATGTTAGTAAAAATACCAGTGGCTTTACCTGCAATCATACAGATCTCCCATCATCTTCAGGGCTGAGATGCCTCATTGCTGTATGTTTGCATGTGGAAGTTAGACTGGAATTTTCAAATCAGGCAGTCTTTGTCTCCCTTCCACCTGTCCCTCCCCCATGGGACATGTGTGTCCCATGGAGTTCATGATTAGTGACACCGCTAGTGACATGTCCTACCTAGTTCTTCGGGAATCACTGCCTTGTAGACTGGGGTGGGGAGGGGAGCAGCACGTGAAATTAGCAAACGAAGCTAAGCTGGCATGTGTTGTGAGCATGACCACAAAGAACAAAAGAGGGTATAAGCCAGAAATGCAATAAGTTAATAAATATATTCCCATGGAAAAATACAGCTGGAGAAGGAGGGATGAAAATTGAGGAAACAGAGAGTCAATGAAACAGTGCGATTTGGAAAGCAGTAATGCCAGGGAGCGATTTATGGGGTGAGACAGGATGAGCATGCAATGTGATACGACAGCTAAATAAGCAAAGGAGGGTTCAACCCTTCTGCACAAGCCCCAAGCACCTCACCCTGCAGCCGGTGGCATCTGGAGACTGCCCCTGGCTGTTTATCAAGCACCTACTGTGTGTCGGGCTTAGCACACAATCAGGTTATCCCTCAGAGTCTCTGAGGCAGGTGTTGCAACATCGAGCAAGGAAGCTGAAGCTTGGACAAGTTACGCAGCTTGCCCAGATCACAGAGTTGGAAATCAACAAACTGGAATTGAACCCACATCCTATTCAAAATCTCATCTCCATACTGGCTGCCACTCTGTGAATGAAGAGGCACGGGACAGGCTACAGGAGCCCTGCAGTGACCTCTGGCTGTGGGGTCCTGGAAAGTATACCAAGACCGGGAGACTGACGCCCTGGCTTCCAAGCCCAGCCCTGCCTCCCAACAGTTGTATGACTTTAAGAGTGTCACTTAACCTCTCTGTGCCAAAATGGGGAAAAAAAAAAAAAACCATCCGCAGCAGGTATTGACGCCAGTGGATGTCGGGGGAGGCTCTTGGTGAACTGTACGGCACACAAAACGGCATACATGTGCTGTTACAGGTCTTGCAAAAGTGTTAGTCCCTCTGTCATGTCCGTCTCTGTGACCCCACGGCTCCTCTGTCCATGGGATTCTCCAGGCAAGAATATTGGAGTGGGTTGCCATTCCCTTCTCCAGGGGATCTTCCTGACCCAGGAATCAAACCCTGGTCTCCTGCATTGAAGGCAGATTCTTTATCATCTGAGCTACCAGGGAAGCTGACCTGTAAATCCCTGGTCCTTGAGCTGTGCTGCTTCCATGCATTCATCACGACCAGTCAGTTCTACCTCCTGCATTTGGAAAACTTGTCATATTAAACCCTGCTGAGCCAGAAGATGACGGACTATCAGGAATGAAGTCTCAGTCCGCCTCGAAGAGCCCGGTTTGTGTCCAGCTGGCTAGTCTCCTCGGGATTTGCAAAACCTCCTGTGAGCTTTGATGTCTCTCAAGGAAGCTACTATAGTCTAGGAAAATTTAGTTCTGAAGGAAAGAAGGGCAGCAACAGGTCTGGAAGCCATCCCGAATGAAGAATGGTCAAAGGACATGAAGATCCACAGGCGTGGAGGAGAGGAACATGGGGCCATCTTCAAAGGCTAACTCAATGGAGAGGAGGAGGACTTCTGTGCTTGGAGTCGCTCCTCGGGGTGGAGCTGGACAAAGAGGACAGGGGTGGTCCTCCAGTGGAGGGGCCCCTGGGGTGGTGCAGGCCTGCTGCCTCTGGGCTTTCGAGGCTGCGCTAGAAAAACGAAGCGATTCCATTAGCCGCTGTGTTTGCCAGCGACATTTCTCCCACAGCAATCAGGTGTCCTACCATTTCAATTCAATTCTGACACCATCCCAGGTTAGAGCAGACCCATACTTTAAAGGCTCCGTGCCACAAGATGGCCCACACATCTGAATGCTTGTCCCAAGTCCCGGGTCCCCCGGCTGCCCACACTTGTGTCTGACTTGGCCACAAATCTGAGGGTTCTCACCACCCGCCTTCGGCTTTGATAATTCACTGAGATGAATCGCAGAACTCAGAAAGGTGCCACACTTACGATTGCAATCTTCTTATAAAGGATGCTACGCAGGGGCAGACAAATGGAAGAGATGCACAGGGCACAGTGTGGTGGCGAGGGGTGCAGAGAACCCAGGTCGGGTGCACCAGCCTCCCATCACTGTTCATTAATCCAGATGCCCCTGGACCCTGCTGTTCCTGGGGGTTTACGTGGGGTCTCACTGGGTTGACCCAGGTAACAAAATCATTACCCACATGGTTGAACTCAGTCTTAGAGATCAGAGGATGAGGGCTGGAAGTTCTAATTCTCTCCTTGTGCGTTTGCTTCTTCTGGTGACCAGTCCCCCATCCTGAAGCTATCTAGCCCCTCAGCCCAAAGATCATCCCATCCCATTAGCATAAACTCAGGTATGGGAACTAAGGACTCATCACGAATAACAAAACACCCCCAGTACTCGGGAAATCCCAAGGATTTAGGTGCTCTGGGCCAGGGAACCTGGGACAAAGGCCAACTCTATTTTTTATTATACCACAGGTACACTTTCACATCCCTTCTGTCTCTGACACGCTATGTTTAGTGGCTCTGAAACTGATTATGAGGCACAGTTCAGCCCAGTGTAAGGAGAGACCTTCAGAACTAGGGCTCTTTGGCAATTTAACGGGCCACCTCCAAAGGTCCGAGCTACTTGGAGTGGGAAGTGATCCGGCTAAGGTTGGACGACCCTGGCTGAGACCCCTGAGCAGGAAAGCCCTGTGCTGGGTGGGTGGTAGTTTGAACCTGATGCTTGCTCACTCCCTGGCATGGTCACAGGGTGATGTCAATGCTTTGTTGATTTCAGAATCGACAGTCGCTTCCATTCTGGATGAACAGCACCGTCACCCGCAAGGCAGAAGGCTGGCAATGGGGCTGGCACGGATATGACAACGAGCTCAGAACCATGAAGGGCATCTTCCTGGCCTTCGGACCCGGTAGGCAAGATCTTAGTCATTTCTTCCCCTAGGCATCAGGGGCTGACGGTGCTCGGAAAGGCTGGATCGATTTCTTTACGGATCTTTATGAGCAAAGCTGAGCAAAGCCAGCCGGTCTCCACAAAATGTCTTTGGCTGGCTTGCTTTCAAATGCTTCTTGGGTTTGGCAAACGTGGCCAAATACTTCTCCCTGTAAGTTTTAAATCTCAAGCGCAGTGAGGAAAATGTATTCCACATGTTTGTGATTCATTTTTTACTTAATTCATCAAAACATCCCTTCACAGTCATCTGACATCCAGGGAAGCTTATCAGGCACTAGGTTGCTGACAGCCACAAGTCCCAAAGTTGACGTGCTCGCTTCACAGGGTCTGACATTTCCACACTTCCTCCCTGCCTAGAGCGGCCACCCCCGTGCAGGTCATCCAGTCCAGGGCCCACCAGAAGCTAGGATGTGCTCATGGCAGGCTAGGAAGCGGTTTTGTGACTGACTCTGAGGATGAGCCAGAATGACTTTTGCAGTGTCTAGGATGAGAGCGAATTGACTTTGCCCTTTTGGACCTGATGTCTTCCTGGGTCTGAAAGAGAGGTGGGGCGGAGGGGGGCCCATTTGGTCATTTGCTTTAATTAATACAGCACTGTAAAATTCACATTTTGGAAAAGTTTATCAAACGCTCTAACAATCATGCTACTACCTGTATACTCCCTTTAAAAAAAGAGTGAAAAGCAGTCAGCCACTATCAAGAGTCAGCTGACCAGATCACGAGCTCTTCGTCTTCCTTCCTGCTGTCCACACTCCTTATTAAACATAATAAGCTTACCCTGATATCCACAGTCCAAGTTCCTTTTTCTAGATGTTTTGATCAAAATGTTTCAGCCCACAAAAGCCCATGCTTTCCTATCAGGTGATAGGTTAGAGGTCACACCTGGGAGCCCTGCCCTTCTCCTCAACATACTGGACAGAGATGCTTGTGAGCCCTCCTTCATTCCATCCACCTTGGGTCACTCTCTCAACCACAAGAAAAACCTGCTGAGAGCTACAAGGCGTCAACTTCTGCCCCCGCCATAGGTGCCTCTGGGAGCCTGAGCCCAGGGAACACACGTGGGCCCACATCATTGTCCACACATCATCCAAGTCCCCATGTCCTTAAGTAAGCAACAGAACCAGTAGCCACAAGCATTTCTAGGGCACAGCTGGGTTCACGACATTGGCCTCAGAGGATACTCCCGCATGATACTGTCAACCAGTAACAGCTACCTGTTAGCCAAGCCCCAGATTAGATCTGCGGAGCTCAGAAGCCAACTCAGTTCAGGATTGGAGCCTTGAGGATGCTGTGAGGTCAACCGCTAGATCAGGGTGGAGACTTCCCAGGCCATGGCCTTTACACAGAGGAACATGAGACAGGGGTGCTTTCATTCAAAGGCATCACCTCCTCCCTCCCCAAAAGAGAGGAATCAGATCATGAATGCAAAACAGTTGTCAGCTGGAGTGTTTATGAGTAAGCATCTTGGGCAGATTTTAAAACAGAAACAAATCTAGCCTCAAACCAAAATTTTAAACCAAGCACCCAGAGCTGCAACAGCTGAAATTCAGTGGGGAGCTTTTTGTCCATTAACAAAGGCCTCCATCATACGCTCCTTTAAAACTAAAAGCCCAAGTCTTTTATAGACAGAAAGATGACCCCAGATGAAAATGGACTGGGCTAATTGCAAAACTGTTTCCAGGCAGATACAGCCTCCCACAAACCATCATGTTTCTGGCTTCGCTTCTCATGCAAGATTGAACAGCTCTACACACTGACTGTTTATGCAGAAGAAAATTTAAGAGCGAGGTCTTTAATAACAATCTAGCTGCACTTTGAGATAAACGTACTGCCCTCCTGATTAATTGGAGGTGATTCTCACTTATACAGGATGCTGAGCATTGCTATGGCTGCCCAGATACAGCTTTAGAAGTCAGGAAGTCTGGTCCAGCTAAGTGAAAGGGAAATCATTCTGGAAAACAGGCTCTCTCTGGTTAATCCCAGTTCCTATTTGGAACAATCTAACCTTGCCCTAAGTCTGTAAGTCTTCCTTCTGTTTTGTAAGGAAGTTCATTTATAGAGTTTCCTTTTAGATTCCACCTATAAGGGATATCATACATTATTTCTAGGTGGCCTAGGGGCTCAGATGGTAAAGAATCTGCCTGCAATGCAGAAGATGGGAGTTTGATCCCTGGGTCGGGAAGATTCCTTGGAGGAGGGCATGACCCACACCAGTATTCTTGCTTGGAGAATCCCATGGACAGAGGAGCGTGGAGAGCTACAGTCCATGAGGTCGCAAAGAACTGGACACAATGGAGTGACTAAGCACATATGATATTTCTCCTTTTCTGCCTGACTTACTTCACTCAGTATGACAATCCCTAAGTCCATCCACTAACTTTTTTTTTTGGTCAGAAGAGCTTGGCCTCAATTTTTCTTGCCAAATGTTAAAGAAAGAGATGTCTGAAAGGCTGGGGATGGCTGGCATGGATTTGCTATTGACCTCCTCCTGCACACGTGACAAGACACGGCCACCGCGTCATGTGTGTGGCAGGATGACCTCACATCCACAGCAAGTCAGGGAGATAAGTCTTCCATGTCACAGGACCACCTCGCCACTGACTCCTCAGCTGCGGTTGATTCTTCTCTGGGGAGGCGTAACCACCATCCGCAGCCAATTGTAGTGTTTTCCTTCATATGAGAAGGGCTGGCACTCCAGGCTCTACATTCTCCTTCCTGGGGTGACTCTGGATTTGTTTGAAATTAGTGTTTACCCTGAGGCAGTGCAGATCCTTACCCTCCCTACCCTAAAAGTAAGTGGACATTTCACATAAGCTATGGGGTAAGTATTTTCAATGCAAAATTTCCCCTGCTGGGCACTTATTCTATTAATATCAACAGCTCCCATCTATTGAGCACAGACATGAGCCTGCAACTAGGATTTAGGCAGTATCTCTGTGCCCAGCCCCTGAGGTTATCCAGCTGGTGAGTGGCTGCAGGCTGCTCTGTAAAGTCTGTGAACTTCTTTATATGGAATTCTACTTTTATACCTCAAAATGGGCAAAACCTATCACTTGAGACGTTGCTCTGGATCTAACATACTCTGTAGCAGAGTTCTCTCTGTTGCTCTTGTATTTGTAATTTCAGGGTTAATGTAAGAGTGGCATTTGGTGTGGATACTTCTGGGTCACATCGCTGTCGCTGTTAATGTTTGCTTTTTAAATCAAGGATATGTGATCGTTTCAGCAAAGCAATTATAAAGATTATTTTCTAAGTCAGAAACTTGTCCTCACAGCCCCCAAACTACCTTTTAAAAAAGTTATGGAGGGACTGAAAGAGCACATGCCTGGGCCTTTATTGATGGATAAAGTGAAAGTTAGTCACTCAGTCAAGTCCAACTCTTTGTGACCCCATGGACTGTAGCCCACCAGGTTCCTCTGTCCATGGAATTCTCCAGGCAAGAATAATGGAGTGGGTTACCATTTCCTTCTCCAGGGGATCTTCTGGACCCAGGGATCAAACCCAGTTCTCCTACATTGCAGGCAGACTCTTTACCATCTGAGCCACCAGGGATAAAAGTCCCTCCTAAATTCAACGTCAATAGTTTTGGATATTTTGTTGGAAGCACTGGCTTGGAACCTAAATGTGAAGTGGCTTATGAATATCACTAAAGTCTCGTATTCACTCTTTGTTGTTGTTCGGTCACTTAGTCTTGTCCAACTCTGCAACCCCATGGACTGTAGCTCACCCGGCTTCCCTGTCCTTCACTGTCTCCCAAAGTTTGCTCAAACTCATGTCCACTGAGTCAATGATGTTCATTCAGCACCTTTTCTGCCTCCTGTGGAGAAAGAGATGGTCCTTTCAGCTCCCTTACTTGCTATGCTGTGAGCAGCCAGCCCTGCCCCCGGTGGCCTGTGTCCACGTAGAGTCTGGAGCAGTGTCTGGGTGGAAGCACTCACCTTCATGAGATGGCTTCCAGCCTTCACTCGGGTCCCCAACTCCAATACCAGCTTCTTTATCTTCCCCACAGCTAAGTTACTTTATCTGCTAGGAAAAAGCTCCCAAGGAATGTTCAACTGATCTTCCAGACATACTTAGAAGACCATCTCTGTGGCTTGTGCACTAGCCACACTGCCAGTTCCATCCAGTCCTGGGACCTCCACGTGGCAGAAAAATGGGAAATATTCTTGAGCTGGGGGCACCCAGGCTAACCACTCCCTGCTAGATAGGTGCCTGGTAGAGACCTCTGCAACCGAATTGGGTTTGAGGAGCTGAGCAAGATGAGGCTTGCAGAAATGAGCAGCTTCAAGTGGCCTTTGGGTCCTCAGGGAAAGCTCTGTTGTTACAATGGAAGCACACTTATGCACAAATCAGTTTGCTGCCTGATTTGTCTTTCAAAGAAACATGGCGCTAAGTGGTAAAGATCCCACCTGCAGATGCAGGAGACATAAGAGATGCAGGTTCAATCCCTGAGTTAGGAAGATTCCCCTGGAGAAGAAAATGGCAACTCACTCCAGTATTCTTGCCTGGAGAATCCCATGGACAGAGGAGTCTGGCTACAGTCCATGCAGTCTCAAAGAGCGGGACACACTAAAGCGACTTAGTGCACATTCACATCTCTGTAAACCATAAAAAGCGACTTGCTTTCACAACCTAGAACCTTCCAGATCTCCTTCCAGGTTCACAATCCCTTGGCCAGGCTCCATGGACAAGGGGGATCTACCAGTCCTAGAGCTGCTGAAATGCCAAGTATAACCCCTCCACTGCATGACCCACCCCTCTCTGCCCTGCCCAGCCCAGGAGTGGCCTTGACCACTTGCTTCCTTGCCTTTTTCTTGCAGATTTCAAGTCCGACTTCAGAGCTGCTCCCATCAGAGTCGTGGATATCTACAACCTCATGTGCAGAGTGACAGGCATCACCCCTCTGCCCAACAACGGGTCCTGGTCTCGGGTAATGTGCATGCTGAAGGACCCGGCCAGCTCGGTTCTGGGTGCCCAGCCCAGCGCCTCTGCACTGGTCACCGTCCTGGTGGTACTGCTGGTGATGCTGGTCTAGCTGCGTGTGCCATGTCCCCAGCACTCAGTACAGTGGGTGAATTAACCACCTCCTTGATTCATGCAAGGCCATACAACTATTAATCTATTCTTGAATGATTCCATACACAAAAGTCCCTACTTCTTTAGAATTGTTTTTGTTTTTTCTAGAGGTAAGAAAAGTTCTAGCTTTTCATTTGTTCAACTATAGGTTATTTTCTTTCTTTTTTTTTTTCATGTACTCAGATGAATTGTCTGAACAGGGCCTCCCGCTGTAGTGACCAGACCCCAGGTGGGTGTTCTATGGAGTCCTGGCCCCTCTGTTTTGCACAAAGTAGGCCCTGGTCTGAGGTCTGTCTACACCTGGGAGCCATCCTGCACAGCTCCTTCCATCGGGGGAAAAAGGAGGCTCATGTGAAAGCAGTAGCTGCTGTCTATTTCTGACCCAGCTCGTGGGGTTTCTTCACCTTATACAAAGTCTCAGAAAGGGCTTATCTTAGCTTGGCTCACCCATCAGTCAAACTCACTAAGAACTGCAGAATTCAGAGAACAAAATGAAAGATATGGGTTCCTTCCCAAAGTCTGGGTGCACAATATTTTCTCCCCGTGTTGAGGAGCAGAAGAATTTATAGATACGGGCTCCTACGAGCCTTCTCCTAGCGTATTCACGGTGTGAACACACACACAGCAGGAGCTGCATTGCCTGTCTGCCTATCTGCCTGTGGGAAGGCTGACTTAGAGGATCCTATATAGAATGTGAGTGCATGCTCAGTCACTTCAATCATGTCTGACTCTGTGCAACCCCATGGACTGGGGCCCCCAGGCTCCTCTGTCCATGGGATTCTCCAGGCAAGAATACTAGAGTGGGTTGCCATTTCCTACTCTAGGGAATCTTCCCAACCCAGGGATCAAACCCAGGTCTCCTACACCTTCTGCACTGGCATGTGGGTTTGTTACCACTAGTGCCACGGTAAACTCCAGCAACGCTTGACATATCATCTATCATCACGGTTGGGAAAAGGGATGTCTGGCTGATGACAGTGTGGACATACTTGCAGAAATCTCACTCCATTGCTTGAAATGGTGATGTACTGAGCTTAAGTTTGACGCACCCTTGTCCCTGAGAGCAAGGTTTCTTTAACAGCCACAGCAAAGTGGACCCTTGAGTGACCCAGAATCCAAGAAAAATGGTGGAGCACAGGGAACACAGTTAGCGTGATGCAACTGAATCCCAGTCACTAACCACTCAGCCATTTGATGAGGTAACAGTTTGGGCAAAGTGACACCTCAGAGACCTTGGTTTTTAAGAAACCCCAAAGAAGAGGCTCTGAGCCTTGGTTGAAATGTTTTTAGTCTTGTAAGTCTGCTATAGGAGACCTTGTTGCAAAACAAGGGATACCTGCACTTCTGTATGATCAGAGTCATAGACATGTATCACTGCCTTAAAAACGAGTTTGTGCTAAATGAATCCCACCTGCAGATGAGATGTTTCATCAAGAAAAGACAACAGATCAGGTCTCAGCAGGACAATAAAGCCCCTTATGTGCTGTTTACCTTGAAAAATGAAAATCTACGCTCACCCTGATTCAAGAAGTCTGGGAGCCATCTCTAGACCTTGAATCATGAGAGCAAAGGATCACTGCTTAAAAATATCACATTTATCTTCACAAAAGATTTCTAAGGTTTTATGTAATGTGTTTTTAAAGCGCTAGCAAACCATCAAGTCAATAGGAAAGGCAAATCAGCCTTTGTTATCTGTCTGAAAGCCCATTAGTGCTTTGGGAACATTGTGGTGGTTATTGAAACAACATCTATTGTTTGAAGTTTTCTTTGTCTGTAAAGGACTGTGTTCTAATGAATTTGGTGGAGCTCACTGTGCTCCCATGTGAAGAAAGGAGACCTAAAAGAAACCCACTGATTCAATTAAAAGTGGATTATCCAAGTCTAGAGGGGTACGAACAGATACACGGTCTTGAGTTTGTCCTTCCCACTCTGGTCTACCAATTTGTCCCCTCACTCATTCTTAAAATCTTCAAGTTACATAATCAAATTTCAGACATCTGCCTGGCAAGGTGTAGTTTCTCTGTAAGTCGTTTTGAAGCTCCAGTACTTTGCACACCTGATACGAAGAGCCGACTCTTTAGAAAAGACCCTGATGCTGGGAAAGATTGAAGGAAGGAGAAGAAGGGGATGACAGACAATGAGATGGCTTGATGGCATCACTGACTCAACGGACATAAGTTTGAACAAACTCTGGGAGATGGTGAAGGACTGGGAAGCCTAGCATGCTGCATGGGGTTGAGAAGAGTCGGACACAACTGAGCAACTGAACAACAACAAAAATGAGAATAAGACACGTTTGGAATCATAAATATTGGTGAATAATAAGAAAATTCAGACACTGAGTGGAAGCAAAACCGTAAACCTAAAGCAACACATATGTTTTAGTGGCTCAACTGTTTAGCTAGAATTTTTTTCTTCTGATTTTTGTTCTAAGCTATGTTCTTTTCCCAAGGAAAATTCTACTTTCTCTAAACGCATTTTGTTCCATCAGAGTAACATTTGCTAGGACCATACACACAACTTTCCTCCTATTTTACCACTTCATCGCTAATTCCGGGAGGAAGGTCATTGGAGTGACCTGCAAATACCAAAGACAGATGAAAGAAGTGATCTTTAAGTTGAAGATAAGATGAGAGGTTACTGTCCCTTCCTGTATGCAGAATCACCAGAACCCAACTCAACTACGTTCTGAAGCCTTCAGCATCAATTAGAGCAGACCCAGGGAGTTCTTTCTCACCTCCAAGAGGCCTGACTTACAAAGTCCCAACTCTTTTTACTTTTAAAAGGGCTCTTCAAAATCCACAGCAGATCTGAACTGTCATAGACAGCAGTTTGCAAACCTTCTGGGATTGCCAGCATCATTGGCCCTCTTCCGGAGATGCAGGTTCTGAGGACCTGGCATGGGGCCTTTGACAACACTTTTAAGTCACATGGATCTAAGGTCCAGGTTTGCCCTAATGAGTGGTGGGTTCTGATTTGACCTTGGTACACCTGAGTCTCCCACAGCAATTTCATGATCTGCTGGTCTCTTCGGCGGCCATCAGCCTGGCATTGGCTACTGATCCCAGCTGGGTCAGCTTCCCGCCCTTCTAAAACCAAAGCAGATCTGTAAGTCCCAGTGATGAAATGGCTTTTCAATATCCAATCCCCATGAGTTTAAGATCCTCAACGGTGCTATCAAACTTGTTGTTCAAGACACACAGCTCTTTTATGAATTTTCTATGAAAGTGTTTTACATGTCTGTAAATCTCAAGAGATTTCCAAATGTGATTATGTGTTTAATCTTTGTAAGCAATTGGTGATAGACCAAAGTCAGCTCTTGTAAGCTACTTGTGAGGAGGAAGAAAGATGGTAGGCTTGACAGCCTAGTTATAAACCGCAGGAAACTTGGTTTCAGGTCTGTGTGATGGAAGATATGCTTATGTGTTGCTTTGAAATCATAAAATTGCACCTAGTATTGTGTCTCACGTGTTTCGTAAATGTCCCATAAATGTGTTGAATCAAAAAAGAATAAATAAAACTGAGGAGACTTGCTTACACAGCATATAGTCTTTCTCTTTGTCTGTACTTATTCAAACAAATCTTTCCTTTTTGGATTGCAATCTTTTCTTATCACCCAAGTGACAATATAATTATACTTCATTTCATGGACTAAGCATATTCCATCCCAAGCTTATAAACTTGACAGATTGGTAGAAGGAAGGAAGGAGATTAGATTTTGAATATACTAAGCATATTTACTTTTTAAAAAATGTGACAGTTTTATCAAGATTCAGTTCACATGCCTTATAACCCTTCCTTTTAAAGTATCAATTTAATGGCATTAGTATGGTCATGGAGCTGTGCAACTATTCCACAATCAACTCTAGAACATTTTATCACCCCCCAAAGAAACTCCATATCCATGAGCATGTTAGCACTCACCCCCCCTTCCCCCCAACCCACCCCCAGGCAACCTCTAAACTATATCTCTACAGATTTGCCTCTTGGGGATATTTCAAGAAAATGGAATAGCCACGAACTCTGTGGCTGTCTGAGTCCAGGCTCTAGCCAATGTTACCGCTCAAATACACTCAGTCTCTCTCAGAGCATCTCTTTTTTTTTTAATGTCAATCATTTTTAAAGTCATTATTGGTTTGTTACAATATTGCTTCTGCTTTATGTTTTGGTATTTTTGGCCATGAGGCATGTGAGATCTTAACTCCCTGACCAGGGATTGAACCCACACTCCCTGCACTGGACGATGAAGTCTTAACAGTGAACCACCAGGGAAGTCCCTCCCGGAGCATCCTTACGGCATCACCCCAGAAACCAGTAACAGCCCACGTGCCCCTTCTCACCAGCAGCCCAGCCAGGACGTCTGCGTATCACTGTGCGTCAGCTTCCTGACAGGTGTTCTTGAGATGCCGGAGGCTGGCTCTGGCTCGTTCTCCTCTCTTCCACTTGAGGGTCCTGCTCAAATGCTGACCATGCCGCTCCCCTGCCCGAACCCATCACTGACTGCCCCGCCACTCCACTACTGTCTTAATCTTAACTCCTGCAGCAGGCTTCCTGGGGCTGGCACCTGTGTGTCCTTTAACCTGATCTCAGGTCACTCTCCCCTTCACTCCATAAGCTCTTTTTGCCTTAGGGTATTTCCATCCTGTCACTTTCTCCTCCTTGATTAGTACCCCATCCTCACCTACTTAGCGCCCCTTCCCTGAGAACTCAGGCCAATGTTTCCTTACACTCCTCTGAACCAGATCAGGCCCCGCTGGCTGACACTCTTTACACCAGCCACATGCAACCCCACGCGTCACAATACCAGTAGCTGGAAGAAGCAAGTAACAGTCCTCTCCTGGAGCCTTTAGAGGAAGCATGGCTTCTCAGTTTCAGACCTCTCACTTCCAGATCTGTGAGAGGATACATTTCTGTGCTTTTAAGCCACCCAGTTTCTAGTCATCTATTTCAGCAACCACAGGATATTAATACACCTTTCAAACTGCTTTCAAAGTAGTCCGTCTAGCTCATCAAAGATTTCTTGAGCTCCTCCTTCACACCAGGTACTGGGCTACCTTTTGGGGATGCATAGAGGAAAAACTATCTTTCCTGTTCTCACAGAATTTACAAGGTAGTCATTTCATTTCTTCCAATTTTTAAAAAATAATTTTATTTTTTATTGAAGTACAGCTGATTTACAATGTTCTGTTAGTTTCTGGTTAGATTCATATTCTTTTCCATTATGGTTTATTATAAGATATTGAATATAGTTCCCTGTGTCATTTCTTCCATTTTTGAGAGGAGTCAAATTCTCATTTCTATAGAATGAAATGTTCTGGTTGCTATGGGCGATGCAAGGAGAGAATTTCACAGCAAACAGGAGTAACACAATGAAGAAGGAATCAGCTAACCACCCTTGTCTCTCACTCCTATGGAATTAAACTTCAAATTCTGCCTCCCATCCATTTCTATGGTTTAACATCCCTCTACATCTTGGATATTTCATGTCAAATTTCTCAGCTGAGGCCCCGGACGAACCATTGTCAACTCTCTTACCTTGGTCCCACGTCCAGGATGCTCCTTCCCACTCTCCGTCTAGCAAACTTTCATTTATCCTTCAGAGCCTTCTCTGTAAGGCTTTGGGGCTCTCACATTTTTTTCTTGTTTCATTTACTGCAGAGCAAATCACATTGCCTTGTAATAATCTGTTGTCAAGTGTTCTCCAACGAGGCTGTTAGCTAAGCAGAATGCTAGGATTGTATCTTCTCATTTTTTAAGTCACCAGACCACATCTGTAGCACCAGCAAAGTCTGCCCATACAACAGTTGATAACTGCCTGGTGAAATGAATGAATTATTGAAGGAAGGAGGGAAAGAAGGAAGGAAAGGATGGAAAAGCTTAGGACACTCTGGTCATAAGATGACCTAAATTTGGACAGAGCTTCTCACAGTAGTGATAAGTTGTAAAAGCCAGAGGCAGGAAATCTTTTGTAGAAAGTAGCAGGATTTGACAAATGACTAATGTGTGACATGGAATCCAGGGGGCAGGGGTTTCTTTTTCAAGATTTCAGCAGGCCCCCTCTTTAGCCATGAACACTAGGAAGTGCAGCAGATGGGAATAAGGAAGAAAAGATAAATGAGTCCTGTCTTCACCATGCTTAATTCGACTTTTCAACAAGATGCTAACACAAGCCTGCATTGTCATTTCCCTATGGCTTGAAAGAGACAGCAGAAGGTGGTTCAGAGCCCTGGATGCTCAAGTCCTAACACGTGGAGGAAGAGGAGGCGTTCCAGACACCTGCTCCCTTCCTCCCACACCTTCTGAGTCCCACCTACCTCTGCAGCTGGGAAATGAGGAGTGGGTGGTAGGAGGAGGTGAAGACCCCTATTTTCTTCACACATGAACTACCAGATGCCTCGGTTTCCCTCCTGCCAGATGAAGACCATTTCATTTGTCATTTACTTTACAGGAGTGCCCTGAAGATTAATGAGATGTTTCTAAATACCCTGAAAGCCCCCGGGACTGTGGTTGTGTAAGCATCAGGTGGTGTACATGGCTGGCTCTGTTGGCACACACAAAAATAGAGGGAAGAAAGTTCAAAATGAGAGTTGGAGCCTTAAAAACACACCCCAGGGCTGTTTCTCGGTTGGCGTGGGTGTTATACAGGTCTCTGGATGCAGCTGGCTGGGAGCAAGGCGATGATGACGTGTACGGCGGAAACTGACCAGCAGCCTTCCCAGCAGGCTCCGCGCGCCCGGGACGACTTGTGCGATGTGAGTTGTCGCGGGAAGTTGAACGAATCCCTGAACGAGTAGCGACCCGGAAGTTCGTAGAGAAATGCCATCCTAAGTTGTTTTAAGGTCTTTGGTTCTCAAACTTCAGGGCGAATTAAAATCACTTGGTGATTTTAATAAGAGGCAGATTTCCAGGCTTTACCTCCAGAAACCATCATGGTTTCCAGTTTGGTTTGGAGTTCATGGTTGGTTTGGAGTTCTGCCCAGGAATCTGAATTTAAGTAAGCTGATTCTTCTGCATCCCAACTTTTGAGAATCAGGGATCTAAATTTTACAGCCAGCTGGTGAACTAAGGCATGATTCTCTGAAGGCAGGAATAGACTGGGCCTAACTGAA